CAGGCTCCCTGCTCAGCAGGAAGCTTACTTCTCCCTCTCCCACTCCCCCTGCTTGTGTTCCCTCTTTCACTTTCTCTCGTTGTCAAATAAATAAAATCTAAAAAAAGAAAAAGAAATTCCTAATGTCATAAACACTTGTTTTCTTGAATCACATTAGGCTATATATTCTTTTATATGCATGTAAATATTATATAATAGTATATAAATACTAGACCTATTCTAAAGCAACTTTGCTTTTTGGGTCTATAATATCTGGACTTCATTTACCTAAGTTGGTGTCTGTGAAGCTGGTTTGAAAAAATATATTTTCTTACTTAAATGTTTAACTTCGTGCTGTTCAACAAAGACAGTGATACTGGTTCTATTTCCAGTTAGGATTGTGCATTTGGATTTTTAAACTATGGGTTGTCTTGGATTTGACATATTCATGTATCGGATTTCCATATTTGTGTATTTCCCACATTTTCCTAAATTTTTTTTTCCAAAAAGGAATTGTAGACTACATTCCTCAGAGTCAAATTAATTTTCTTATATCAATAATATTTCTCTCCTGTTGATTTTGAAATCAAGAAATAAAAAGGCAGAATATTTCATCATTCAGTCATGGTTGTTTTGAGAAATGCTGATTGTTGATACAGGAATTCTGAAGATATAATAGTTATTATTATAGTAGTTACAAAGTTGTATCTCACAAATACCAAGCCGTAAACTGGCTTCGGGATTTAAAATGGCATGATTGGAGCAGGGCATCTGGGGGGCTCAGTAGGTTAAGCAGCTGCCTTCGGCTGAGTTATGATCCCAGGGTCTTGGGATTGAGTCCTGTGTAGGGCTCTCAGTGGAGAGCCTGCTTCTCTTTCCCTCTGCCTTCCTCCCACCCCCACGTACGCATGCTCTCTCGCTCTCTCAAATGAATAATAAAATCTTAAAAAAAAATTTAATGGCATGATTATTTTTCATTTATTAAGTACCCCAAATCCTCAGCTCAGTTGAGAGTTTGGGACTCGTGAAAACAGAGTTGCCTGTTGTGTCTCCATCTCTTGCTTTTCTTTGGTGTGCTACAGAGCTTAAATTTTACTGTGGTTACAAATTACTTGGGAATCATGTAAACAGGTATTGGGGTCAGTATTCTGGGATAGATCTTGATATTCTGCTTTTCAGTGTACTTAAGTGGATGCTATTGCTGCTGGTTTGGACAACATTTGAAATAGCAAGTATATACAGTAACCTCTTTTCTCCCTTCTTTTCTATTGGGAAACCCATTCTATGTGGCATGAGACATGACCCAGAATTGGCCAATCGGAATCTCCCCTAACAAGTGATTTGGAGTCAAGATAGCTTTCTTCCAGGAGCTATAGAAGCTGGGATCATCTTTCGTGGCCCAACAAATATGAAAGAATAAGGCTAATATGAAAAAGGGCAAGTGAAGAGAGATGAGACACGAGTGTGTCCTCAGAGCATTATTTGGATTTCTGGATCCGAATGTACTTAATATACATCATCCTTGGAATTACTGGTTAATACAGTTTTTTACTTAAGCTAGTCTGAGTTTCTTCCTGTTACATTATAAACCTGAAAGATACAGGTAAGCTTGGCCATTCATTAAATCCTAATTGGTGATAAAGAGTTTGGTTAAGTATAGATGACAATACAAAAGCAGGGCCAGTAACTGTCAATTTTATGTAACTTGAAACATGTACGTAAGTCAGTTTCTAAGTATTCTAATACAAATTTTGAAGCAGTTCCATTCCCAATGTAGAGAACTACTTCTTTATTATTACAACCTTGTGCCTTCACTGACGAAGGGGAATTTGGATACCTACTTTTCCACTTTGTAGATGAACGCATCCAAATTCACACATCTTGTTTAAGGCTACATCTAAAGTTACAGAACCCAAAACCTGTGTCTCCCTTTCTCAGGGTATAATTCTTCCCCCAGTCATTTTTACTCTTTATTGTATAAAAACATTGTATAGATTGCTAGCTCTTATTTCCATAAGATTGACTATAAATACATTGTCTAAGTGTTTCTAACACACTTTATATGTGTATACACATTTGAAAATATGGGAGAATGATATAGTAAGGCACATATACAACCTGAGAGCTGGTCTATGGATATATAAATATTGAAATATAAATACTGAAGTAAGGTTATTTTCTAAACGTGATCCCACATTTTCTAAATGTGATTAGTAATTCTAATGTTATAAATTAATGCCAAATCCACACATTCTTTGAAAAAATATTATTATTTAAAAATTTGGAAAAAAGTATTTTTGTAAGTTTAGTTAATACAACTTTTAAAGTTATGTGCTCTTAAATACTAGAAACTTGGACACATCACTGCAAGAGGGAATTGGTACCTGAAGGTCAAACTATTTTACCTGGTTAAGTTTAGTTCATACAGAGGACTGGCATTTATAGAATGAACTTACAGACAATTCATCTAAAAAAGCATCTAAAAATTTGATGAATTATTATGCCATGATAATTAGTATTAAAAATTCCTTTAAGGCTTCAGTAATTCCCTTTGGTGGCTTGAAGCAACTCCTAACCAGATTGGCTTAAAAATAGAGTTTAACTGTAGTCCTAATAATGTTTGCATGTATGATGAGTTACTAACACGATCAAGATTCAATTAAGTCTCCAAACAATTTTACAAAAAAGAAAAAAAACAAAAAACACTTTATTTTCCACAAGGAAGAGCAATAGGAAAAATTAAATCATTTCCCACATATTGTTTTCTTAAAACAGAGCCTACAAGGACATATTCAGCACCAAATAAAACAGGAAAAAAAGAGAAATTACAAACAGCCATAGAATATAATCTATAAAGCATACATTTAATATTGCACTTTGTTTTGCTAATGTTTTGGATTTTACTTTTCCTAATTGCAAAATCAGGACTCTATCTTGAATACTGGAATACAGCTGTGAACCTCACATCTTATGTCAGGAATTGACCAATATTTGGAAAAGAGTAAAGTAATGCCTCTAAATAAGAAAAGTAAACAAATACTTTAATGGGGTAAATAAAACTTTATTTGATAAAGTTTTATATATATTTAAAATTTAATCACATTTTGTGACCCAGTGCCAATTATCAGAATATTGGTCATTCTCACTTCATGTGTTATTTATAAGAGTATATGGTGATAAGTATTCCAATGCTATGCATATCAACAATTGTTCCCTAGTCAGTTAGACATAAGAGAGAAAAGAAAAGGGATTTTCAGACAACCTCCCCCCCAACAAAAATAAAACCACCAAATGCCCTTTATGCCAAATATTCCATTAGCTTCTTTTGAGGGGGACATTCACAAAATGATTTAACAACAATAAAAAAATATTTCACCCCCATTTCCTTATTATCTAGTATTAGTTTGCTACGGGAGCCCAAACCCTTTACTGAATCACTTAAAACGTGATTCATTTTTACGCTGGGCTTTCTTCACCCTGTCAGCATTTTTCAAACATGAATTGTCTTCCATGTTTTCTTAAAGGCCACTTATGGAAAAGCCTATTTGTTTTGTATGAAGCTTTAAGACAGTATTTAACCAGGTCAAGCACCAAGCCAGAGTTACTATTATTTTCAGCCACTTTAACTGTGGGGTTAAATGGCAGATAGATGTAACACCCATTTCACACGTATGTTGCATCACCACAGATGCTGATTTTCATTAAAAACGTCAGAGCTGAATTCCTTCTAAAATAAGACCATTTGTACACTTGGTACATTGGAAAATGGTTTTTAAGTGTCATCACGAATGCTGGTATATTTCTTACGAGCCAACTGTAAATCATCTTTAATACAAACTATAATTTACTGATGTAGTTGGTCTTATCTATATATACTCAAAGTGAGTGGTTTCTCATGTTTAGCAAAATGTTCTTTAGATAATGGAAAAAATACTGTCACTAAAAAAACCCCACAAAAATAGAAAACAGTTCTCATTCCAGCACACGTTCTAGTATTTGTAATTTTGTGTACACTTTCAGAATAAACTTGGGTTTTCGAGTTCTGAGAAGTTGGGAGCGGGATAGGAAATGTATGAAGTAAGCTCTCTAATCACAACCTGAATATATATATATATGTATATATGTATATGTATATATGTATATATACATATATATATTCCTGCTCAGAAAACACTGCATCAGCAAAATGATTTCCAACATATGTGTTTTGGAGGTAATTAAGTAACTCTGTTATAAAAATAAATGCACTTTCTCCTCCTCTCCAGTGACTGGAAAATTTCCATACTCTTAAAATAATAAAAATAATAATTTTTAAGAGCAACAAGCCCTTAACTCTTTGCTGGTGCCTGCCATACTGCCTTTCTTTACTCCATTCTTAGCTCTGCTAGTTTCTTCTTTTATGTAATGATAAAAAGGGAATGTGGGTGGGTTATCACTTTTGTGTATGTCCCTTTTCCAAATTTCCCTCTCCAAAAAGCCAACCAACCAACCAACCAAACAAAAAAAAAGTAACTCAACAGTGCAACGAAACACAAATAGCATTCCAACAGTTTGGCAAGTGATGCGTTCACCTGAGATTAAGTGATTTTAGGCAGTCAGTAACAAAATGCTGCTTTGCTGTAATAGTAGAAAGGCAACAAATTCTTAAAAGAAACCAAGAAGGTATACAATCTTGACAAAGTCTCTTATTAGCTTCCTCCTCATCTCTTTTCCCACATATCTGTTGCGTATCTACTACAGTAGGCTGCAAAACATACAGCAAGAAGGATTGGCTTGAAGGCATTTGATGTTTGTAAATAAATCCACAATAGGATCCAAGCTGAAGAGGTGATACATGGTCAGCCTAGTAGGACATTTCTGAGCATGTGCATACGCAGGTAAAGTCCAGGCTATATTAAATTAAAAAAAAAAAGTCAGTGCGTTTTTTTTCATGTTAAAGTTTTTTCAAAGCTTTCTTTTGTTCCTTGTTGTGCTGACCGCAAACAAGTTTTTAAACAGTATCAAGAGTCTGGCATAAATGGAAAAAAAAAAAGCTGTAGTGACATCAGAACTGCACAATGTAAGCATTGAGCATGTGCAAATTTTCAAATCAAAAGAAGGAAACCATCCTTCTTTACAACGTGGTGTCTTGACACGTATGACCATAGGCTAAGAAGACTGCTCTTAAGTATGTGCCTGTTTTAAAGGAGAAAAGCTTAGATCTTCAAGCATGTTGGAGCAGTCCCAGAATGTTGCTGTAGGCTTCTAAAGCATGATCACTGGTTGTTTCATGTATTTGCCATTTTTCTGGGCAAAAGCAATTCCACTTCCTCTGAAAACGTGTCTCCAAGATACTTCTCTGTCCTCAGCTGGGAAGAGATACAGTTCGGAACCCACATCAACTTGATTTAACCAAGTGTTCCTTCAACGAGAGGGGCAGGATGGTCTATCATCTGCTGACTGATCAGGATTTGGATCAATCTAAAATGAAGAGTTAAAAAAAATTACAAAGTTATCTGATAAAGTCTAGTAAAAATGCAGCAATGACTAACATTCTAAGTACTACTGAGGAATTGAGTCAGAACATACACAGCATGTAGGGGAAGGGAGAAAAGGATACAAATATTATCTATAAAGTGCCTGATACTTAATTACAAAATTAATAAAAAAATTTTTTTTTAAAGATTTTATTTATTTATTTGACAGATAGAGATCACAAGTAGGCAGAGAGGCAGGCACAGAGAGAGGAGGAAGCAGGCTCCCTGCTGAGCAGAGAGCCCGATGCGGGGTTCGATCCCAAAACTCTGAGATCATGACCTGAGCCGAAGGCAGAAGCTTAACCCACTGAGCCACCCAGGTGCCCCCGAAATTAGTAAAATTTTTAAAGGTATGCCCATACGGTGTTTTATTCAGCAGTCAGTAGTACTTAAGACTCAAAATACGGAGTAGAGAACAATTTCATAGTAATGATCTCCCTTTTGTCCCTTTTCATCCTTTTACAAAAAAAGTCAACTCTTTTCTAGGCTTTGGGAAGAATGCAGTTGTGTGAACAGTGTTCTTGGTGGTTATCTGAAGTAATAACCTATGAATGTTAAACACTAGAGAAGGCCTAAGAAAACTGTGTATCAAGAAATAGCAGTGCTAAACCCAGAATGCTCTAGAGTCTGCCCACCTTCTCTATGACGAGAGACTTTAATATGCACATACATTTAAGCAAAATTAATATATTTCAGTTGATTCTCAGAGAATGAGCTCAGGAAGGCAACTGGTTGGCTTTAAAATATTTCTTTTACTAAACATCTTTTGGGTAAGACCCATTTTTATTTGCATTTAAATGTAGCATACATTTAGGTATGAACATTTAAGTTCTGTGAGTGCCTCACAGAACTTTAGGTAAAACATGTTTTTGAAGGAAAAAACCAAGTAACTTTTCTTTTAATGACTTAAGAGAAAAACACTTTAATGCAGTCTAGAACTTTTCCCCTTCTATGTGACTATTAACTGAATCACATTCTGAACCACTTTAGGATTTTAGAAATTTTTAATTCTCTTAATTATCTTTAGTTCACTTTAAAAGGTGGTAGTAGAATTTTGCCACAAATTGCTTTAAAGTGGATAACGGAGATTGTCTTTCTTTTAAAATGACTGTTGTAAAGGCAGGAAGTCTCAGATCAAATAAAAAATTACGGACTTAAGATAGAAACATCAGCATAAAAATGTAACATAAAATCTGTAGCAAGTGGGAGAACTTTTAGCACATAAGGACAAATTCTGTGAAACAGAACAGAGGGATAGTATGGCTAATTAAGAATTCACAAGAACAGGGGCGCCTGGGTGGCTCAGTGGTTTAAGCCGCTGCCTTCGGCTCAGGTCATGATCTCAGGGTCCTGGGATCGAGTCCCACATCGGGCTCTCTGCTCAGCAAGGAGCCTGCTTCCCTCCCTCTCTCTGCCTGCCTCTCTGTTTACTTGTGATCTCTCTCTGTCAAAGAAATAAATAAAATCTTTAAAAAAAAAAAATTCAAAAGAACAAATTCTAAATATCCTATAATCAACAAATAAAGTGATCTTCTATTAACCACATCTGGAGGAAAATGGACTCTTCCAGCAGATATTAAAGGGGGAAAAGCAACAATTTCTTGCAGAATGAAGCAATCCCACTTAGGTCTTATTTGGGAGTAATATTTCATTGTTAAATAGCTAATCTGTGATAACCAAAAGGGTAAGGCTAATTCTAGTGATTTACAAAATTACTTAGCATTATATTGGTATCAATGCCAACTTTAAAGCCCTGCACAACATATATTAAGATGTATTCTGAAGAACTTCAATCACCTTCCCAGGGAAGCCTTTCCTGATTTCCAGGGCCTAATGAACTACTCTTCAAATGAACTGTGTGCATTTCTATTGTTATGGAATATTTTGCTTCTAAATTTGTTCTTCGCATCAGTCTGAGCTTCTCGCAAGAAGAGCCATGTTTTATTCACGTAATGCTTAGTGGTCATCAACATGAGATGAATAAAATAATCAGTGTAGAAATGTTTGTAGAACCTGTTTTGCAAATATGTTATTTTCCCCTATGACTGGGAATGTTAAAATATGCAAGAATTAAATCGGAAAAGGATGATAAATAAGAGAAATTCTAGCTACTTTAGTTCATGCATGTAAAATGCCACTCCTATTGATGCTTTAAAATATGAATTATTCCTTTAACAGGCATTTTGTAAGCATGATATTAAATCATTATCCCTACTTCCCCAATAATGTAAGAATCCTACTTATATTTTTCTATTAATATAATGATAATCAAAATCTAACTGTATTTTTAAAAAAAGTCTGTAATGCTGTTTCCCAGGAGAGTCAGCCCATTTCAGACTTGAGCTAGTGCTTACCTCTGAATAAAGAGGTGGAGGCAAGAACCGAAACTCCTGGATATATGCAAACAGTGGTCCTTGAAGGGCTCTCTCAAAGTCATCACAAGCACTCACGGGTGCAAGATTATTCCGCCTTTGTTCCTCTGTTACCACTTCTGCATAGCTGGGTGGTGCTGAAGGAAAAAGATACACGCAATTCGAACACCACGTTCTTATGCATGTCAAAATACACAGAATAGTAGGTATTAAAAAGGAATGTCAAGATAAAAATAGTAATTGTTTTGTGATTAAAACTAGGGGGATATAGGTTTTAAATCTAATATTAGGGACACATCTACTTTCTACACATATAGACAAAAGTTTAATCATAAGATATTAAAGGCAAAATTATGTTCTTCAAAATAATAATAAGAGAATAGGCTTAAACATGCATTATCAAATTACCTTCAGGTCTTTCACGTAGAGATAAACCAAGCCAGTTCATATTCATGCTACACTGACTGCTTACACTTGAGGTTCTGCTACCAAATGGATGTAGAGGAATGGTACCAATGACAAGTGGCAAATTAAGAAATAAATCCATAGCTCCAGGAATATCCACATATACCTAAACATTGAAAGGAGATGGTAGGTTTAGTATTACAAGCATTATTTCTTTCTTTAAAAACTGATAACCCAACTTTAATGTTATCTTAGGCCTTCATTTACTTACATATACATAGAATATAAAAAAAAAGTTCCATCACTACGTGTAGTACTACATGTAGTAGTTTACATGTGAGGTAAAATTAGTAATTGTAATTCAAATTAAAGGTTTACATGTATTTGTATATATGATATATAGAATACAAAAACCAAATCCTAGAGTAAGATAATGACTTACTTACTATCATGACTTTAATACTAAACAAACCCTTAAATCTATACCTACCATTAGTGAATATTCCACACGAATTATGCTACAGTCGAGGATAGAAGGAGAAACTGGTGGAATTTTCAGCAACTTTCCATTCCATGTATCTGTCTTTCCAGATGATAAGGATTCCCCACGTAAATTAGCCACAAGCTGTTTTACTTCCTTCATTTTCCCTTTGGCATAGAAGGCCTGTGTTTGGTAAATGGCTGCCTTTGGCACTACCATTCGGGAAGAGCAGTTCTCAATCTCAGCAAATATCTGAATTGATTCACCTAGAGGGAAAAAATATGTATCTACTGTTAAACAAAAACAACCAAACCTCCAAAAATGTAGATTCTTAAGCCAAAGTCTGAAAGGTCAATGGACTACATGGATGAAAAACAGTCCCAAAAGTGGCAAGAAATTTGGAATTGTAAAAATGAACTACTCATGTTTAGTAGCTGTTTAAGAACAGATATTACATTCACATTTATGAAAGAAAATTGGGTTATTCTTACCAAGAATATCATATTATATGTGCATTTAGTAGAAATACTAAATACTTAATACACAAAAGCTGAGTAAAGAAGGATCGTTTTCTGTGGGAGTCCATCTCATACATACCTGGGGTATAGCCCTTCCTTTCGATTTTGGCACTTAAGGATATTGGGCCTGAGGTACAGAACCAGCAACAGAGAGTCTTTTCTTTTGTGCCTGCTTGGGGTGACTGTAAGAAATAAATTAGAGAAAAAGGTCAATGCACAAATTAAGACAGTATTACACAATGTTTTAAAATAAAACCCTAAATTTTTGGAGAATTAAAATTAAAAACAGTGTTGTTTTTTTTCCAGGTGTATTCAGATATACTTTTAAAAAAACTAGCCAATGGCTTCTGAATTATACAATTATTTTCATCTTTATATATATTCTCCATCCAATTAAAAAAGGGTAGAGAGCTTAACAACATACTCCATAAACACAGTTTTAGCTCATACTATTTACAAAGAAAGTAATTAAAAACAAACCAACCAACCAATCAAACAAACAAAAAAACCCTTTCCACATTCCACTTCAACTGCCTTAAAAAAAAAAAGGCAGCTTGGAAAGCAACTTGGTTACAATCCCAAATGTTAACATCTTTCTTTGAGAATATAAAAATTAGTTATGTGAAAAAAGGAAAACTCTCATTTTTAAGATTCTTATTTGCTTAAAGATGTTATCATTTGTTTAGACCAAATAAAGTTTTTAAAGTCAAATTTGAATATTGTGAAAAAATGCAATTAAAAAGGATTTCTTTTAAAATATGATTGATTTTTCATGAAAGTGACAATCTCCCCAACACTTGACAACTATCCCTATATTGGAATATGCAATGCAGTCCAAGGTTTAGATTATGATCTTTCAATGGTAAGTGATACTGTCTTATAATAATTGATACTACTGTTCCTTCTCCACTGAAATTATCCAGGGAACAAATCTATTTTTTGTTATTCTTTTAACTTCTGAGTGAGAATTATTTTGTACCATATGCTGTTTTTACTTTTAAAGTTTTCTTAAATTTTCTTAAAGTTATTATAATATCAGAAAATGTGAGCATATTCTTCACTAATTTGTGTGCTCTTGACTCTGTTTTTAAAAATAGTATTTATGGAATTTAAAATCACTCTTGTAAAAGTATAGAGACTGCATAGTTTAGGTGATTATTCTTTAGTATTTATATGCCAAAAACGAAGAATGAAGAATTCAGTCAGTTCTTACCAGTAATGAAGGAGTGTTGATATCTATATGCTCAAAGACTGTAAATTCCTTCTTTAATTTTACTGGTAGAAGCCAAGGCCTGTGCAATTCGGCTTTCACCCAATAGCGCACACTGCCATGTCGGCCTTCGAATGAGGTAGCAAGTGGTCTGTGCAGAATATAAATTCAATATATTAATTTTATACCTCTTTTTAAGAATTATACAGTTGGTCAGCATAGAAGTGTTACTATATTCCACTGCTTATATATCAATGAGGTAGCAAACAGAATTTTTTTTAATTTCTAAAGGGATAAGTCATTGGGGAAAAAAAATCTTCTGTTTTCCAAAAAACAATAGCTAACACTAAAGTATTATAGAAATTTTGCTTTAAAAAGCCAGAAGAATACAATCCCTTTAAACTAAGAAGAGGCTGCTTTTAACGCTGGTGGCAAAATTATGAAAGTCTGGAAATCAATTCTTGAAATCAAAAATTTAATTTAAAAACAAAGTTAAGAATGGTTTTAATATTTCTTTCTTTTTTTTTTTTTTTTAAAGATTTTATTTATTTATTTGACAGAGATCACAAGTAGGCAGAGAGGCAGGCGGGGGGAAGCAGGCTCCCTGCCAAGCAGAGAGCCCAATGTGGGGCTTGATCCCAGGACCCTGGGATCATGACCTAAGCCAAAGGCAGAGGCTTAACCCACTGAGCCACCCAGGCACCCCGGTTTTAATATTTCTATTGAGAAAGTTTATACACTGGCTTAGGAATTCTCTTTTTTTTTTTTATAATAAGATCTAGAGAGTATCTAGAAGAGTTGTTTTAATTTCAAAAATTTCACCTTTTACAAAATCTACTGAAAATCTAAAAAAGCTGTGTTTCCATTTCCTAGTTTTCTCACGTTCTAACTCTTTTGTGGCCATGTTTTCTAACTGTACAGGCTTAATAAGAGAAAGAACAATTCTGTTAATCTCTATCAAGGGCATCCAGAACTGGTTTTCACCTCTCCCAGATTTCATTAATTGTGGAAGGTTTTACTGCAGTGAGTTTAGTCTCTTTCATAATTTCACTAGCAAAATGCCCAGTGTTCAGTTATTTACAAGGTAAAGTGCTAGCTTAGATTAGCATGAAAAGTAGTGGGATTTTTAGATTTTTTTTTTTTTTTTTTTGCATTTTAGACTCTTACATTAACGTGTATAGCATGGAAAAATGAAATGTAGTATTTATGTAAGTCTTCCAGAGTCTATTTTAAGTGACTTTGGTTGATAAACTAGTCAGACCCAATATTAGCAATAAACTAGTCAGACCCAATATTAGCAATATATTCACAGACTTACAGTATTTCTCTTAAAGCAGATTAGGGCACTACGTTTAGAATGACGTTAAATAATATGGTAAATAGAATACTCTGAAAAATATCATTTATGAATTTATCCGCATAGTAACAATTCAAGTACTACAATTAACAGAGATACTAAGAAAATTTGGCGGGGAGGGAATAATCGCTTCGAAGATCTATTTTTACATCAAGAACAAACCACTTAACTTTTTCCTTACTATATTCCATGCCTTATATTCAATTATCTGATAGGTGTTTCCTTTTAAATCCAGGTCACAGAATCAGTTGTATGACTTTTATAATAGGTCTTTGCACAGAAGCTACTAAATTCATTATCAAAAGATCATCATAAAGTTAGATTATTCCTAATTATGTTTATCTTTTTACATTACTGCTGTGGGTTAATATGTTTATCTTTTTACATTACTGCTGTGGGTTAGCATTAGCAGAAAAGATAAAAGACTGGATTTTTACAAATTACTGAGTTGAGTTTTGTTAAGTTCTAAATTTCCACTAATGTCAACTGATGATAAAATAGAAAGTGCTTACATTCTGACTAGCACCTTCCAATTCACTCAGGGTACATGAAATACTATTTAAGTTTTAAATACCTCACAGATTTTGAGACAGAGTACGAAGAATTGAGCTTTGCTTTCTATAATTCTGCCAGGCTATATTAAAAAGCAGCTTCTTTTTCAGTGTATTGTTTTCCTCTAGCAAGATTCAGTGATGAAAAGGGTTTTTTTTAAAAACTAAAAATATTTAAATTTAGAATAATTTTAATTAAAAGAATGGAGGTTTATGAAAAATGCCTGTTACTCATAATACTTACGTCTGTGGAAGCTCGAAGCTGAATGCATATTCATGCCTTCCTGAATGAATAGTGTTGAAACCTTCTTCTGAATTATCATCATCTAAAACAAACAAAGAGAAAACAAAAGACTTTATATTAAACCTTTACACACTCTCCCTGGTGGCAGTACTCTAAAGGTACTCCTATAATAATTAATTAAGGCCACAAGCTTTGGAGTCTGAGAGATCTTAATTCTAACTTGTCACTTCCTCTGTGTGAGTTACTACAAATTCCAACTCTTCTGTGGCCTCATCTGTAAGATGGGGATAATCAATACTTATGCCCTTAAAGGCAGTTTTTTTTTTTAATGGTAAATGACCCAAACTGTAAAGCATTTGTGTCTAACATAGTAGATGCTCAACCAGAGTCAGAGCTCAAGTCTCTAAGAGGTTATCTTTATCTCCAATGGTTTACTTAAAAATTTATCATAAGACTATATATAGATTAAAATTTGTGCAAACCTTTAAAGTCTGTCAGTTTTGATGCAGATGACATGAATGTTACAACTTAAAACCATTAGAAAACTTCGTCAAATGCTTAAGTTAAAAAAAAAAGGAAGTGATATTTAAATGTCAGTTTCAGAGCTAAAAATAAAAATTCTTTATTGAACCTAAAATGTTCACACTAAGTTTGTCCTAGCAACAGCTAAAAATCTGCACATAAAAATATATCTTACGATTTAAAAGGTTCCTGCTTACTGGGAAACAACATTGTTCCACATCCTTGAAAAATGAACTCTAATTAGGCTGTTCCCAATTGCTAGGAGAATGACCTTTCATTTAAAAACCAATTTTCTTTAGGCCAAATATTTTTTAAATTTCTCCAAAACATATACATATTTAACGAAAATGTGGGAGGATTCTGAATTCTTAAATTGACTTTTAGTTTAGCTGAGTAGTGTAATTACATACACGTCTTTACTGATGTAGTCTTTCAGTGTAGAAGCCAGCATTAGCCATGAGTGTAGATGAAATTGGTATTACCATTTAACTTTCTTTCACCAAAGTATTGAAGGGACACAACGTGATGCTTCCGTTACATCAAAAGAGAAAAGGGGGAAAAAAGCGTGTTTCTGCGGGTACTTTTATTCAGAAACCATGATAATTCCTTTTTATCTCACTGTTTTTCCTCGCCCCCCTGTGCAAATCCTCTGAACGAATTTCAGCACCGAAAACCGGTGAGTTGGGGGCCATTTAAATTCGCTCCCCTCGAAGGCGCCCGAAGTTTGCCTCCCTCTCCTTTTCGTCCCTTCTCGCTTCCTTTTTGTGCCAGCTCAGCACTCTCATTGAGGCGAGCGGCGGCGGCCCCGCCGTGGTAAACAAGTGCCGGGCTGTCAATCAAGAACTAGACCGGAGCAGGAGAGGACCGGCCTAAACCGGCGCGAGCAGATCCCAGCCGGCCCGCCCGCGCGCGCCGCCGCCCGCGCGCTCCGCTATACATACGGCATACGTCGCGCGGCGCTCGCGCTCGCCTGCGCGCAGCCTAGCCTGCTGGACAGGGGGCGGGGCGATGGCACCGCGGCGCTTCCGCTTTACACGCCCCAGCCGGTGACCGGTTCGATCTGGCTCGGGCCACCCTGACACCTTTACAGTTGCGGAGAGAGAAACTGGGGCGTGGGGGAGGGAGGAAGGCCAGGGTGGCAGTGTCTCTGGGAAACAATGGGGAGAGGTCAGAGGATACTCGCTGAGGCCTCTCCACGAGCTTTCAGTGTCAGTATCACTTTTCCTTCTTCTGGCCCGCCTTTACGGTCTGTTCCCAGGTCAAATCAAGGTAGCCGGTCTGGTGAATACACAGGTCAGGAAACATGCTTTCTTTCAACTAAGAGGCAGTGAACGCCTCCAGAAGCCACCTGACTTCTTCCAGCCGAAAATCAGGAAAATGGGGTCCCGCTAACCCTGCGTACCCAAGTTCCTTCTGAATAGATTTGTCAGTTAAAGTTACGCCCAGGGGCCATTCGGCACCTGCGAGGCCAGCAGGAGCTTCTCCCCATCTACTCTGCGGAAACCCGAGATCGCTTCTTTTGGGGCGCCAAGCAGGAAGGTGAGGGGCGACAACATTCTGTGACAGGAGCCACGACGCCTCCAGAAGCTGCGGGAGGGACGCGGGTAGGGGCGGGGGCAGCCACTCTGGAGGGACCTTTACCGGCGCACGCCGGTTCCAAGCCTCGCCCCAACCGGCGCGAGCCCACTCTCCCCACCCGCCCGCGCCCAATCCAATCAGAGCCTGGCATCGCCTTAGCAACAGGCTAACAAACGCGGCTCCGCCTATCGCCGGGCGCCCGGGGCGGGGTCTCAGTTACCAGGCTAGTTTGAGAGGTCCCACTTTTTAAGTCATTGAAACTATTCCAGCTAAGAGCTTGTCCACGCTTTGCAGGGGTAGAGGGGTATCTTGTGGGGTCCGGGGTACATAGTTTTGTTTACGAAGAAATCCTGGAACAACTAATGAAATTGTGTTTGTCCCCGTAAGTCATTATTCTACTTTTACTCCATTGCAAGCCTCAACTCCCTCAAAACCTTTGTTTCTTATCCATTTTATAAAAAGCTGCAATGTTCAGAAAGGTTCAAAGACAAACTCGTGTCTGCTTTCCAAAAAATACCAAGGCTGTCATTCGGCATTTGCATCTTACCAGTGTTACTGCTTGTAAATACAAACTAAAAATTATTTCAGGATGCAGATTACCTATGTGTAACTGTGAAATCCCAACTGAAGAAGTAATTTCATTTTAATATTTTAAAAAAATGATTACATGCGGTAACTCAAAGCATCCTTCATTTCGACACTTGTCTTAGTTCCATTTGCACTTCCTCAGGGATGTGTATTTTTTTAATATAAAAGGTTAAAGACGTGCTGTACTTTCTGAAAAATCGTTAACATTTGAACTAAATACTGCATTAAAAAGGAGAAGCATAAAATTACATAACCAGTTTTAACATTATATTCTTCTTGGGCTAGGAATTAAGTCATCGCCACCACCTGACGCGTGTAACCAATCTGCTGAGAGCAGAACAAGCGCCCCTCCTCACCACCCCCCAGAACTGGTCCGAAACAGGATTGAACCGCTTCTAACAAAGGGTGGAAACTTAGAAAAACAAGCTTAGAGTCTCCTATATTTCCACAATGTAACCATTTAAACAATAGATTGGAAATCTCAGGACCTCTTCTCGCTTTGACAACCGTTTATCTCCCTTTTCCAACCAAAAATCAAATCCAATGTGCCGAATACTTTTCAATTCCATTTGACTGGCACGGGTTTCATTGAATGCACGTTCCAAAGTTAGGCATCATACTCGGAAAAGAAAATTATTGACCCGAAATGGTTTCTAAAACTGATTTGAAACCTATCATAATGATAGATACTGTCCTTTAAGATAGAGAATGCTTGATGTAAATTTATAAAAGGATCTGGAGAGAATAGGGAAAAAACACGTGGGGTGTTGATACCGTATGTCAAAATAAGCCACAGAAATCCTTTATCAAAGAACAATGATGAATTCCTTACACTATTTTGCGTGTCAATATTAAAAATGAAAAGCACCTACTAATCCACTTAAATGTTATTCCATTTCTTCACTGAAGCTTAGTTTTTAAAATCTACGGTTGCACACTGCAAGGAAAAAATCGAATACTGGACTGCAGATTTTAGCATTTCATTTGAAAACTTATTAATAAAATCACTGAATGGGATTTAAGTATAATTTACAAATAAGGTAGAAAGGTATTGCAAGTGCGTATGGAACAAACCAAGCCGGGTATAGAGGTAGTTGAATTAAGTGCAGTTTGCAGTCACTTTGCAGATGCCTGCATGCATTACGGTTTAAAACACGATGAATGTCAAGGAGAACCCAAATCTTCCAACTTTGCTAATCTTTAACTGCTATGTGTTATGCCAGGTGCTGAATTACATTAATTCAGAAAAACTGAAAAGGTACTTTCCCAAAGGAAAAAAGGTCTAATGACTTCTGAATAATATAAAAACTTACCTCTTTCGTGTCCAATTAAGATGTCTTTATGGTTGAAATATTCTACTTCTTCAGTGTAATTCTGTGTATAGGCAGTATTGGAGCCGGCGTTTCTTGATTCGGTCCAGCGTACTTTCGCATGTCCTCTTGCATGAATTTTAAGAGATTTCACTCTGATTTCCCCGGTAACTTCTAAATTCACCCTTCCTGAGACTGTATCCCCACTAGAATACACAGGGACATTGCTGTCATTAAGACAGTCAAAGCTTATTGTCAAACTCTTCACCTTTCCCAGCACCATGTTTATAACAAAATCTATAAAAATATAATGTAAGACAAAAAAGTCGAGATCACATATAAAACGTGATCTTCACCTAACACTGATCGATGTCTTTGCCGTGCAAAAAGCTTGCAGGCAAGATCAGTGATTCTTTACAAATAGTTCATTGAGATTTCTTAAAAAGTCAGGGCAGCAGAGAGGCTGCTGCTCCACGATCCTGCTAGTCTCAGTGGTCTCCTTACAAAGACGGGCGGCTGGAGGCTGCCAGCTCACTTTAAGAGCAGCTTTGTGAAAAACAACCCCACTGCGCATGCGCACGCCGCGGCTGCTGTCCGCCCTCTCTGCGCGTCCCCTCCCGCGCCTGGCTCGCTCCCTCGCTCGCTCGCGGGTACAGTAGGTGTACAGCTGAGGGAAGAAGACACTGGGGCTGTCGGGAGGCTGAACCTGACTTCTCTTCATTCTGGGCTCTTATTGGTAGGCAGGCTACCGTAAACCCTCGACGTGCTATCTGGAGCCCCTTCTTACCGAGCACACTCTAATAGAGAATGAAAGAGTGGGGGCACTGGGGGACAAGGGCTGGGTGGGAAGCTGTTTGCAAAGCCACGTAAGGATAAACTGCTGAGTGACCAACCCGAAGCGTGCGTTACCGGCACTGCAGGGTTTTGGCCACTGCTTGGATGGGAGGTGGAAGAAGTGGTGTATGAAGAGAGATGGGGGAAGGGGAGGAAGAAACCGGTTGGGCGAGCGACTGGTTGCTGAGCATGATCTAACGAATTAAAAAAAAAAAAAAGTAATAAAACCCAGACAAGAAATAATGTTCGTAGACAAGAGCATTCTTGGTTTGGATTTTTAAAAAGACCAGTGCGTTGTAGGCAGTGGGGAAATTAACTCAGCCGAGGCCAAAGGAACCTAAGAGAGGCCAAAGAGAATACCATAAGGGAGTAAGAAAGAGAAGCAACTGTAATTTAATCAATAGGTTTTTTTTTTTCTCCTCAACTGTTTTCTCTTCCATCTCTTAATCACAGAGCAACGAAAAGCAACGAAGTTGTTTGCATGATGACACCAAGGGGGAAAGGCCTGACCACTTCCCAGAAGGAAGAAAAGAGACTTTTTAAAGACACCACCTACAGCTAGATGTACAATGTTGACATGATTACAACTCCTGTGTCCAGAGGATTAAAAATAGAGTTCGGCCTAAAAAAGTACCACCTTATTAAGAAGCGGCATGACACAGTGTTTTAGTTGACATCATATCCACAGCATAATAGAAAAATCTTTGTTAGAAATTAGTGAAGCCTGTAAGATGGTTTTTTAAAAAAGCATGATTTCGTGTATAAGTAGAGCTTAGTTTTGTAAAGTTCTAATATTAATTTTTACCAGACCAATAGCCTAAGACTCTTCAACATAGTAATTCTCATAATACATCTTAAAGACAAGTACAGTTATCTCTTTTTTGTGAACATTTTGGTAACAAATGGCAGTTTTTCATAAAATCACACTGGGACTCAAGGTATAACAACTTACACTTTTCTAGATATTTCAATCAACAGAACTGTTTCTAAGAGGGAAATGTAGAAGGAAAAAATATGAATCTGGAACTATTTTCATAAACAAATACACTTTGGCAGATCTTTTGACTATACTCATTGGTCTTGCTGTTTTCTTGCTTTTGGGGGAAGAAAATTTTATTTAGTTGGATTTTAGTTGACAAGGCAATTAGATTCAGCGTTGTATATAAATATGCAAACTGGAGAGTTAATGGATTTATCTCCATTAATGGTAATGGATTTATTACCATTTATCTCTAACAGAGTTTAGATGGTTATGTTTAAAACTATGAATATGTGTATTTAAGGGGGAAAAAAGTCTTTTTTTTTTCTCCTCTTGGTTGATACCTGGTGGAAATCCTAGTTGTTCAAGTGCTTGGAATCTTGTACTAGCTTTGGTTAACAGATACTGCTTGGTTTTTTTCGCCACCTAGTGGTAAAACGTGAATTTGCTAAAATGTCTGCTTCTCAGCGTTAAGGTCGAATCATTTATTAAGCATTCAAATGACATTGGACAAGAAACAGATATGAAAGTGCAGTAAACAATGAGGCATTCATTAATAAATTTGCTTTAAGTTATTTTGGGGCTAATGAACAACAATTGAATTCTTCAGAATTTTTAGTAAAATTTTTCTAGTTGGAACATAACTTATTTCTGAAAATTAAAAATCAGCGTTTTGAATAAACTAGAATTGCATTTAACCAGAAAGAACCCTAAGAGATTTACTTGTAGTTTGGAAAGTTGTTTTCCCATATTAAATAATTAATTTCTGTGACTATAATGCATTATTCCTGCTCTTTGAAGCTTTTAGGATATTATAGGTTACTTTAGGATGTTATTTTAGGATATTATAAGTTATTGGCTATGATAGGATATTATAAGTTATTGCCTTTATTATTTATTTTGCCATTTCTCTCTCTCACTCTTTTTTTTTTTTTTTTTTTTTACTATGTTTTCCTAAACACTTAGGTAACCAACAAATTGCCAGGAAATTTTTATTCCCTGTCATTTTTACTTAAGATCCTACTCACTTAACCTAATTATCACCTTTCTTCACTTTGGTTTTAGTCATATAACTGTTTCTAAGTGTCTAAACTTGAGTTTACGTGTTCATTTTGTTTACCCCCATTCATTCCAACTATGGAAACACCAGAAACAACAATGAACAAACAACTCTGGCACCTTTAAATTCCTGTTTATGTTTTTGTTTTTAATGTTTATTCAAGTAATCTCTACACTGAACGTGGGGTTCAAACTCATAATCCTGAGATCAAGAGTCACATGCCCTTCTGACTGGAGCAGCCAGGTGCCCCTATGCTTTCCGGTCTAAAAGAAAAAATAATAATAAAAAAAAACCCACTTGGACTAAATTTTGGACTAAATGTTTTCTCTCCTGACTTTTGTGACCTTCCCTTTTCAAAACTCCTTGTCTAAAAATCTGCCCTTTAGATAAGTTGAAATGTACTGTAGCTCTTATCTTGGTCTTCTGGACTTGTCTCACTAGGCTCTTATTGTATTTTGCGTTAAGTTTAAGCTATTCATCTTTACCACCAAGGCTCTTTCCTATTGCACCCCAGCCTACGTCTCATATGCCATCTCCTCCTACTCATCTGCTAACTCTCTATACTCCTGTCAAGTACATCTTCTGTCCCCTTTGTTAGGCTATCTCGCTGTTGCCAATGTGAAGTTACGTGCTGCTTTTTGTGCCCAGAACAACATCCCACTGCTGTTATCTCCTTTTCCATCTTCTAACCCCTCTACTAGACTCAGCTGAATAAAATTGAATAAAATTTCAGGTAGAGTAACTAGCACCCCCTTCCCTTTTTATAGCTGTGTCAGAACTTAAATAGAAATCTGTCTTTATGGTATTTGTTTCTTAAATTTTAAATTCAATGCCTGTTGCACCTTACTGTACAAAGGTTTGAACTCAATCTCAAGAACTTGTCTAAAACTGACAAATGATAATCACTATCAAGATATTTAATATTGATGTGGTATGTAGAAATACTGCCAAATCTGGAATTTTTCACATATCAAAATGCTCAATATTATTGAAAAAAAAGGCAAGCCATCTCAACTGAAAGTTTGATTATAGTTGTAAGAAAAACCATACCAGCAGTTTTTTTTAAATCCATGGTTAATCCTTATTTCAGCTAACACTTGATAGGCCTAAATACTGTAGAACTAGGGGCGTTCTGTTTTTGTTTTTATTGTTGTTTTGTTTTTTTGGTCTTAATTGTGTATTTCAAGATTTTGTAACTCTGGCTTTTTTTTTTTTTTAAGATTTTTTTTTACTTATTTGAGAGAGAGAGAGACAGAAAAAAAAAAAAAAAAGCATGAGCAGGAGAGAAGCAAAGGAAGAGGGAGAAGCCCACTTTCCACTGGGTATGGAGTCTGATCCATCCCAGGACCCGGAGATCCTAGGCCTGGAACCGATGGCAGCTGCTTAACCAATTGAGCCACTCAGGTGCCTCTGACTTAATTCTAATATCTTCAGAATGCAACAATGACTTTGGTGTGGAGACTGGAGGCAAGATTTGCTACATTATTAGTAAAATGAGTGAGGTTTTTAAATATTTGATAATTATATGGTATGCTTGTTATATTTTTCATACTTAATGAACATTTAAATGTGTGGTGAATTTCATCATAAAATTCAGTACCAAATTTTTATTTCTCTTCTCCCGCATTAAGATATAGTGTGATATGTATTATGTGAATGCAGTTAATCTTTTATTTTTGATTTTTTGATTTAAAATAAAGTCATCCATAATTTGATCACCCAGAGATAACACTATTAACATTTTGTTACATTTCCATCTAGGTATACAACTAGTAGAGAAAAGCATTGCCTATGAAGCAAAAACAATGCTTCTCATATCATTAGAACATTTTTGACAACAGGTTTGATTAGTGGCTTAAAGGGAAAAATCTCTTGAATGAATTTATAACACGTAGGTCCTGCTAAGTTAGACGATTTTGTAAAGTTTATTTATCTAGCCCTAAGTGGCACTGGGCCTATGGGAAGGATCAGAAATGCTAAGTTCCTTTTTTTTTTCCTTAAGATTTATTTGTTTATTAGAGAGAGAGAGCACACAAGCAGCGGGAAGGGGCAGTGAGAGAAGCAGACTCCCCGCTGAGCAGGGAGCCTGACATGGGACTTGATTCCATGATTTTGGGATCATGACCTAAGCTGAAAGCAGACATTTAACTGACTGAGCCACCCAGGTGCCCCAATGCTAAGTTTCTTTTCTGAACTACTTTATGACTTTTGACCAGTCACAACTTTATGTAATGAGGGTAAAAAAGAAAAAAAAAAAATCTAGTTATAATAACAAACATTTTCTGATGGGTATTGAATTTTAGTAGCAAAATATAATTGAATGCAACCAGTTCTCAGTTTTGTTTTGTTTTTTAACCTCAAATTTGTATTTTGCTAACTGGAATTTCATATTTGATATCTTACTTAGAGAATATTGCTTTTCCAGTTATCTACATTCTTCTTGTTGATGAAGAGGATCGCTATTATTGGTGATTTTTAAAACCGAAAACTTGGGGTGCCTAGGTGGCTCAGTCGGTTAAGCGTCCAACTCTTGGTTTTGGCTCAGCGTTGTGAGTTTGAGCCCGGCATCCGACTCTGTGCTGGATGTGGTGCCTCCTTAAGATTCTCTGTCTCCCTCTCTCTCTGCCCCTCTTCCCT